AGCAACCCTCGAAAAAGAGAGTCTCGACACTTTTGTTAGCGAATAGTTGTATCCGTTACCATTTGGGCTATTTCTTGAGTGCTTCTGCCTCTCACTGGGAGTGAATATAGGCGCAACATTGCTATCCAGCTTATACAGCATTTTGTTTTCCTTACGAGTGTAATTTTCGCCGTGAGATATGTATCACTCGCGAAGCGTGGATGGTTGTACTTTTTGAGTGAAGTTTGTGAGGAAGTGGCTTTGAGCTAGCTTTTCCAGTGGCTTACGTTAGGCCTTTCATGCGTGCAACATTGCAGATGTCAAATAGCATTTCATGAGAAGTGTTACGTCCCAGAAACTCTGACTGATAAAGGCAGCGGTGGTTCGAATACATCGAATGCTCAGTTTTTTTGTGAACCATGTTTGTATGGACTCAAAGAACCGCCCTACTGCGAATTATGCCCAAATCGTTATGGTGCCTTCAAACGAGCCGGTAATTTTTTTTTTTTTTTTTTGATGATTTATTTTTTCATATTTTTGAGCAGTCTCGGAGTTCAGCCAATCCGCAATTAATTTATGAGTGAAAATCGTGTTTGTTGGTAATCTTTTCTCAAATGCTTAGAAAATTACTGGATTTTTTGGAAATTAATCTAGCCATGAGGCATGACTCAGGCATGCTGATGAGAAACTTCCCCAAGCAGAGCGACTAATACTGCGTACTTTGCACCTTGCGGACAAAAATACATGATTTGCTTGTTCTTATAGAGAATTAATTGTTGTCTCTTTAGATCTGTTTTCTTACTTTCAGCATTTTATGGCCCCTTGCATCCAGTCCTTGGTTTTTTTTGCCTCGTCGATCAAATTTTTGAATTTGTTTAGGTAGACCGTACTTGTTTGACATGCGTTTGCAAGTTATTTCGTTTTAAAACTCAAAGAGCTTTTTTGTTGCTTCTGGATGTGAAAGGGGATGGCTAACTCATTGGGTCATTCGGAATCTGGGTGATATACCATGCGTGCTGGTATTCCTTATATTTCCAGCATGGTCCCTAAGCATTTCTTGACATTTCGATTGTTTAAATAACTTTGCTAACGATTTTGCTGGCTGCAATTGATGATAGCGCCATTTCTCGCAATAACTTCTTCTTTCATAGCAAAAGAAGAAGACGAAGGGTTCTGAAACCGAAAATTTTGTTTTAGATATTGGTGGCGGTTGGGTTCATTTGCTGTGTGCTCTCTATACGCCAGGCGTAACATTCAGCGATTTGAATCGCCTGACAGGCGTTAGTTGGCAAGAAGTCGATTATAAATCATTTGGGAAACGAGTATGTTTCGAGTTATCAATTTGATTTTCGAATGTGAGAATCTCCACTCAGTTTTTGTTTACGCGGTAAATTCTCTTGAACTGAAACTAAATCCCACTTTATAATGTGCTGAATTTCCCGTAACGATGCAGTCTTTTAATACATCTGTGTTTTAATATATATCTGCTTACCACTTTTATGGTATAATATTAATTAAATGTTTTTCTACTGATTCAGCGATCTGGCACTAATCTAGTGATTCAACATCGCTGTAACCTTTTTTTAAATATTGATTTAATGATTTTATTATGAAACAATAGTTTGATATCTCTGAATTATTCTGAGCACTATAATAATATTCCAGATATGTGTAGCA